ACTCTTTCCAGCTCCTTTGTGTGTTTCTCTTTCACCCCCAGCCCATCTATCTCGCCCCAGCACCTTTGTCTCTTTGTCCTCTTCTCCAGCCCCTTTGTGTCTCTTTCACCCCCAGGCCCTTTGTATTTCTACCCCCAGGCCCTTCTGTGTGTCGCTTTCATCCCCAGCTAGACATGTGCAATTCGTTTCATTCCGAATGGCAATTCGGCAGAATTTCGGGCAATTCGGGCATTTGGATACATCCGAATGTCCGAATAGCTGAATTGCCAAATTGCTGAATTGCCGAAGTCCCGAAGTTGACGAATTTCCGCAGTGTCGAAGTGCCGAAGTTCCGAAGTCGCCGAAGTTCCGAAGCACAGTATTGCCCAAGTACTTATATACCCAGTGGAAGAAAGAAGTATGTTACACTGTATACAAGTTTAAATAAAAAATATACAAACAAAGCCAGGATTCAGCTGTAAGCATTTGCAACATTTACAACAATCAAGTAAGTTACTTAGCTAGTCAATGGAATGACAGGAATGAATAAGTAGATAACTCCCTAATTCCCACGGTATTAGGGAGCTATCTACTAAAAGGCTGAAAGACCTAGATTGGTCTTTCAGCCAAATTTACTAATACTAAGTAAAAATGATGCCCCTATTCGTTATCCCACGAGCAAGGGCATGCCTACTAAACAGTGAGCAGCCTGTGGCTGTAAACACCTCCCCCCCAAAAAACACCCGCCATTTCCCTCGCCCCCGGCCCCCACCCTTGAGCGACGGGTGGGGGCCCTAAATATCAATCAAGGGTGGGGACCTATTATCCTCACCCCTGGCCCCCACCCCTGAGCGGTGGGTGGGGGCCCTAAATATCAATAAGGGGGGGGACCTATTGTCCTCCCCTGGCCTCGACCCCTGAGCGGCGGGTGGGGGGCCCTAAAGAAGAATAAGGGGGGGACCTATTGTCCTCCCCGCCGGCCCCCACCCCTGAGCGACGGGTGGGGGCCCTAAATTAGAATAAGGGGGGACCTATTGTCCTCCCCCCGGCCCCCACCCCTGATTGGCGGGTGGGGGCCCATAATACCAGTAAGGGGGGACACATCTATTGTCCCCCCCTGGCCCCCACCCCTGAACGGTGGGTGGGAGCCCAAAATACCAATAAGGGGGGGACCTAATGTCCTCCCCCCTGGTCGCCACCCCTGAGCGGCAGGTGAGGGCCCTAAAAATATATTTAAACCCCCCAAGGTGACTAGGTGTCCCCATACCCCTAGTCACCCCCCTCCCCGAAAACAAATAACCCCTACTTACCCCTCTCACCCTAAAAATAATGAGGGGGACCATAAACTAGATACCTGTAAAACAAAATAAATAAAAATAAAAAAAATTACCATTTGAGTCTTCTTTCTTCTAAAATCTTATTTTTTCAGCTCCAAAAAAGGCCAAATAAAGGCCTGATTTCAAGCTAGCCAATCAGAGTGCTATGACAGGTAAATGTAGAGACTTACCTATCAGTCTCTTCATTTACCTGTCAGAGCACTCTGATTGGATGGCTTAAACCAACCAACCAGAGTGCTCTGAGCCTAATTGCAGTGAGGGGCAAGGCTTTATTAGCCTTCCCCCGCCCTGCAGAGCTCAGTCTGTGCAGAGCCCTCCATGGGTGAAGAAAGATTATTTTTTTGCGCTCAGGGTTTTTTTTCCCAAAGTGCGTCGGTCATTATGGTTTTTTTATTTGGCCTTTTTTGAAAGAAAGAAGACATCAAATCGTAAGTTTTTTTTTTTTTAAAGATATCTAGTTTATGGTCCTCCCCCTCATTATTTTTAGGGTGAGGGGGGTATGTAGGGGTTATTTTTTTGGGGGGAGGGGTGTGACTAGGGGTTTGGGGACCCCTAGTCACTTTGGGGGGGGGGTTACATTTTTATTTAGGGCCCCCACCCGCCGCTCAGGGGTGGGGGCCAGGGGGAGGACAATAGGTCCCCCCTTATTGATATTTAGGGCCCCCAACTGCCGCTCAGGTGTGGGGGCCTGGGGTGAGGACAATAGATCCCCCCCTTATTGGTATTTAGGGCCGCTACCCACCGCTCAGGGTAGGAGCCAGGGTATAGGACAATAGGTCCCCCCCCTTTATTCTAATTTAGGGCCCCCATCCACCGCTCAGGGGTGGGGACCAGGGGGGAGGACAATAGGTCCCCCCCTCTTATTAATATCTTTGGAATTTTCTGAACACAAATATTAGTGATTCAAAACAGTAAAACATATCACAGCTATGATATTGTCAGTGAAAGTGCCTTTTTTTGCATTTTTCACACACAAACAGCACTTTTACTGATGATATAATTGTTGTGATACGTTTTACTGTTTTGAAACACTAATATTTGTGTTCAGCAAAGTCTCCCGAGTATAACAGTACCCCCCATGTACAGGTTTTATAGAGTTTTTGAAAGTTACAGGGTCAAATATAACGGTCAAATATTTTTACATTGAAAATTGCCAGGTTGGTTACGTTGCCTTTGAGAGCATATGGTAGCCCAGGAATGAGAATTACCCCCATGATGGCATACCATTTGCAAAAGAAGACAACCTTATGTATTGCAAATGGGGTATGTCCAGTTTTTTTTAGTAGCCACTTAGTCACAAACACTGGCCAAAATTAGTGTTCAATTTAGTTTTTTACTTTTTTCACACACATACAAATATGAACGCTAACTTTGGCAAGTGTTTGTGACTAAGTGGCTACTATAAAAGACTGGACATATTGAATACCCTGGGTTGTCTACTTTAAAAAAATATGTACATGTGGGGTGTGATTCAGAGATTTATGACAGATAATAGTGTTACAATGTCACTAATGATACATTTTAAAAATATATATTTTGAAACAGCAATTTCCTATTTGTACTTATAGCCCTATAACTTGCAAAAGAAAAAGCAAAAAAGCATGTAAACACTGGGTGTTTTTAAACTCAGGACAAAATTTTGAATCTATTTAGCAGTTTTTTTCATTAGCTTTTATAGGTAAGTAAAAGATTTTTCTAGCAAAAGTCAAAAAACATATATTTTTTAAATTTTTCACCATATTTTATTATTTTTTTTAAAAAAACATTAAATTACATAAGATTATATAAATAATGTTATGTAAAAAAAGCCCTTTTTGTCCTGAAAAAAACAATATATAATTTGTATGGGAACAGTAAATGAGAGAGCCGAAAATTACAGCTAAACACAAACACCACAAAAGTGTAAAAAGAGGCCTGGTCGTTAACGTACAACATCGCAAAAACAGTCTGGTCCTGAAGGGGTTAATCTATTATTTTTTTACTTTTATTTTCAGTTATTTAGTTAGCTGGGGTGGGTGGAAGCTAGGGGAAATTGAGTACGCTAGGAAGTTGAAACGTTTTAGAAAGTTTTTAAAAGTTTGTAAAAAGTGAAAAAAGTATCAAAAAAGTTCTTAAAAGTTTAGAAAAGTATAAAAAAAGTGAAAAAAAGGAAAAAAGAGAGAAAAAAGTTGTTTATTTTATGTCGAAGCATTTCTGTTTTGCTAGATGTAAGCACTGTGTTTAGCTGTGATCTGATTTCTGTTTTTACCCGCAGGGGTTAATTTTTTTAAAGAAGTTTTTAGAAGTTTTAGAAAGTTTTTAAGAGTTTTAAAAAAGTATTAAAACAGTTCAGAAAAAAAAAGTAAAAAAAAAAAAAACAACTGAAAAAAGAATAGGTTATTTAGTTAAAGTTAATTTTAAGCTTTTACCATGCTTAGAAGATTTAGTGCCGAGGAGGCATATAATATATTAGCAAGAAACAACAAAAACCACAAAAATCTTTGTAAATATTATTTGATATTTGTATTATTTATCCCTTATTTATTCTACCTAGCGCACCCTGTATTTTTTGTTGTTTCTTGCTCCCAGATTTATTGAAGGGTTTGAGGGTTGCCTTTCTCCTCAGGTGTGCAGCTCCATCCACCTCTGTGATCAGTACTGTAGCACTGTTCCATTCCATACTCTATTTCTTTTTGATATAATATATTAGCGGCCAACTCACAGGCAACCGACACTGCCTCAGAGAGTGCAGCAGGTGACTATGTGCCAGACACAGATGAAGAAAGTGATGATACCCCTAGCACTGATAACTGGGTGCCCCCTAACAATTTTGTACCCGACATACCTGTGTTCACTGCCACTCCTGGTATTCAGACAGACATGACCAGCTATAGCTCCCAGGATTTCATGGAGCTGTTCCTTGGGGATGAATTTTTAGGGCAGATTGTTACACGGACAAATCTTTATGCAGCGCAGTATCTGGCACAAAATGCAGCAAGTCACCTTGCCACAAAAGGGAGCTGGTACCCCACCAGTGTGCAAGAATTAAAACAGTTCTGGGCACTAACCATGCTAATGGTCATTATAAAAAAGCCCAGAATTCGAATGTAGTGGTACAAAAACCCAGTATGCAATACCCCCATTTTCTCCCAGACCATGAGTAGGCCCAGATATGAATCAATACTGTGTTCTTTGCACTTTAATGACAATTCAAAGTGCCACCCAAGAGATCATCCGCAGTATAAGCTATATAAAATCCGCCCCCTAATTAACAATTTGAATACAAAATTTGGCACAATTTATACTCCCCAAAAGAATATATTTATAGACGAGTCCCTCATGAAGTACAAGGGAAGACTGGGGTTCAAGCAATACATCCCAGCCAAAAGATCCCGGTATGGCATGAAGCTATACAACTTATGTGAAAGTAGCAGGTGGTATGTTTATACCTTCAGAGTATATGAAGGTAAAGATAGCCACCAGAATCCCCAAGGTTGCCCTGATGTAGTTGGGACTAGCGGAAAAATAGTTTGGGATCTCATGAACCCGCTACTGAACAAGGGGTACCACCTCAACATTGATCATTATTATAACAGCATACACCTCCAAAAAATGCTATTTTGTTTTGAGACTGTGGTCTGCGGCACTATCCGCAAGCCACTCACTGGCTTCCCAAAGGCTCTGGCAGAGAAAAAAATTAAAAAGGGTGAAACAGCTGCTCTCTGCCAGGACAAACTGCTGGCTCTGAAATACAGAGACAAAAAGGAGGTGTTCACCCTGACGACCATGCACAGTAAACACACGCGCAGGGTCGCAGTTCATGGCCGAAAGGATACAAGACGGATGCCTGTCTGCATTAAGCAATACAATACACACATCGGGGAATATGACCTGTCTGATCAACTGCTGCAGACACATATGATAATAAGAAAGACCAGGGCCTGGTTTAAGAAAGTGGGCATTTATTTAATGCAAATGGCTACTCACAATGCATTCATCCTTTTCAAAAAGGCAAATCCTCAGCTGAAATTAAATTTTCTTACATTTCAGTTTTAGTTCATTTCTGTGCCACTCACTGAGTGCCACAGTGGGGAGCAATCAGCAGGGCCTAGCAGCAGAGATATTCAGACAGATCACTTCTGCTTTCGGATACCACCAACCCCCCAAAAAAGACCCCCCAGAAAAGGTGCAGGGTGTGTTACCAGAGGGGCATTCGAACGGAGACCAGTTTCTACTGCCCTGATTGTCCCTCTCAGCCCGGCCTTTGTATTGGGAACTGCTTTAAAGTATTTCATACTCAGGGCCAATAAATTCTCAATACAATTAATATTTTTGTTGTAGTTCTTCTGTTATCTGACCGCTGACTATATATATATATATATATTTTTTTTTTACATGTATTTAGTTAATTGGGGTGAATGATAGTTCATAGGAAATTGGGGAGTTTAGTGTGTATGCTAGGGGTAGAAATACAAATAAAAAAATCCACACACTATATATATATATATATATATATATATATACATATATATATATATTAACATTGTTTTTGTGTAAAAAGTTCTTGTGTAAAAAGTTCAAAATGGTAAGGAAGTTCAGTGCAGAGGAGGCTTAGAGAATTCTGACTGCGGATTCAGAGGTGACAGACAGTGCCTCAGAGTTTGACCCAAAATGGGACATAGACCCAGCGTAAAAATTTAAAGTTTAAAAAAGAACCTGAAATGGCCTAGTCTCAAATTTGCCCCTTCAACATCCACATATACCTGGGAAATGTACACGCAGGGGTATTGCTGTACTCAGACAACATAGCTGAGCGACATATGAAGCGTTATACTGCCGTAGCACACCTGAGGAGTGGAAACTATGCAGTAAAATCTCAAAGTGTGTGTCAAAAAGACACAGAAAATGCTTACTACTACTAGACTTTGTAATAACTAGTGAAAAAATTATTCTACGCTAAGGTTCAAAATGGGCCTTTTGAAATACCCTGGGGTGTCTTCTTTAAAAAATGGTAGGTCTTTGTGGGGGAAGTTTGAATAAGCAACCTGCTATTAGACCCCAAAATGAGACATAAACCTATCAAATTCATCTCTCAAAATTCTACTGTAAAAACTAAAATAGGTCTCCTATATGGCATTGTAGCTTCACGAAATACTGCCAAAGGAAAACATTGGGGGCATTGTTTTACTCAGAGGAGTTAGCTGAGCATAATTTGGGTTGTTTGATCATATTGGAACATATCAAATATACAAAATGCCAAGCACAAATGTAACGCATAAGTTAAAAAAAACAAAAATATTTGTTAATCACACACTTTGACATATAATGGTGAAAAAATGGTGACATGTTAAGGCACAATATATGCCATATGAGATACCCTGGAGTGTCTACATTCACAAATGGTATGCCTTTGTGGGGTTATTGAAACAGTCAAACTGCTATAATGCCCCAAATTAAAACATAGGCCCTGCAAATCCATCTCTCAAAATTCTATACTAAAAACTGAAATGGTCAGGTCTCCTATATGGCACTGTAGCGTCACAAAATAGTGTCAAAAGCATACATTGGGGGTATTGTTTTACTCAGAAGAGTTAGTGGAGTATAATTTGGGGTGGTTGATCAGAAAAATATTTTTGGTGAAAAAAGTATTTGTTAATCACACACCTTGACATATAATGGTGAAAAAATGGTGACATGTTAAGGCACAATATATGCCATATGAGATACCCTGTAGTATCTACTTTCACGAATGGAAGGCTTTTGTGTGGTCGTTTGAACAATCAAACTACTATAATGCCCCAAAATAATTGGTCCATCAAATCCATCTTTGAATTTTCGAACTGTGGAAACCAGGCCTGGACTGGCCATCGGGCACACCGGCAAATGCCCGGTGGGCTGCGATGGCCGTGGGCTAAGGCCGGCAGAGGAGATCACAGGATCTCCCCGACCTGCCCCTGCAGGGCCAGCACTACCCGAGCGCCAGCCCTGCTGTGTGCCTCCATGGGCCGTTGGTTAGATCAAAGATCTCCCTCATTGGCCCACAGATGCGGCCGCTGGCTGGGGAGTGAGGGAGGGAGGCAGGAGAGGACAGGTTACCGTGGCAACACTCAGATCTCGCGAGAGTGAACTCTAGCCTGCAGGCTAGAGTTCACTCTCACCCCTGGACCACCAGGGAAGGAAGCATGGCTCCCGAATCCATGGCAGCACGGCATAACTTATTTTATTTTTAATTATTAATAAAAAATATATTTAAATTTAAATAAAAAAGACATTCACACTCACAGCCCCCTCACACACACAGCACCCCCAGACACACACAGCACCCAGAAACACACAGAACCCCCAGACACACACAGCACCCCCAGACACACACAGCACCCAGACACACACAGCACCCCCAGACACACACAGCAGCCCCAGACACACACAGCACCCAGACACACACAGCAGACACACACAGCACCCCCAGACACACACAGCACCCAGACACAGACAGCACCCCCAGACACACACAGCACCTCCAGACACACACAGCGCACCCAGACACACACAGCGCCCCAGACACACACAGCGCACCCCGAGACACACAGCGCACCCCCAGACACACACAGCACCCTCAGACACACACAGCACCCTCAGACACACAACACACAGCACCTTCAGACACACACAGCACCCTCACTCACACACAGCACCCTCAGACAGACAGCACCCTCGCTCACACACACAGCACACTCCCACACATATACAGCACACACACACACACATATATATATATAATAACCCTCAGTGAGTTAACAGACAAAGAAAATTAGAAACCTAGAATGTGACGGCAGATAAAAACACCCTCACACACAGCACCCCTCTTACATACACACACTACAGCACCCCTCACACTGCACCACTACACGCCCTTCTTAGGGGGCAGCTCTGATTGAAAAATGCCCGGGCCTAATTTTTTTCCCAGTCCGGCCCTGGTGGAAACTGAAATAGTCTTGCCTCTTATATGTCATTGTAGCTTCCCAAAATAGTGGGCATACAATGGGGGTATTGTTGTACTCAGCAGATGTAGCTGAACACAATATGGGATTTTGACAAGGAATAGCACACAGCAGATTTACAAAATACACATTAAAAAAACCTTGTTATATGTGTGTATTTAAAAAACAAATTTTACTAGACTGTGATGTCTACTTTATATAAATATATACTTTTGTGTAGCAATTTTGTTTTCTGTGATGGCTATTAAACTTAAAGCACCCTCACACACATACACAGCACACTCACACACACAGCCACACACACAGCACTCTCACACACACACAGCACCCTGAGACACAGACAGCACCCTCACACACACACAGCACCCTCAGACACACACAGCACCCTCACTCACACAGCACCATCAGACACAGACAGACAACCCTTTACTCACACAGCACCTCACAAACACAGCACCCTCAGACATACACAGCACCCTCACTCACACAGCACCCTCAGACACACACAACACCCTGAGACACACACAACACATTCTCACACATAGCACACTCTCATACATATACAGAGCACACACAAACACACACACACACAAACACACACGTATGTATAATATATAAAATAACCCTCAGTGAGTTAACAGATAAAGAAAATTAGAAATATAGAATGTGACAGTAGATAAGAACACCGTCACACACACAGCACTCCTCACACACATGCATCCATCACACATACATACAGCACACCCAACACACTGTGCCCCTCACACGTCCCGGTGATACTCCAAAAAATTGAATATTGTGCAAAAGTTCATTTATTTCAGTAATGCAATGTAAAAGGGTAAACTAATATGTGAGATAGACGCATTACATGTAAAGAAAGACAGTTCAAGCCATGATTTGTCATAAGCGCGATGATTATGGCTTACAGCTCATGAAAACCCCAAATCCACAATCTCAGTAAATTAAAATATTACATGCAATCAATAAAACAAGGATTGTACATAGAACAATATCGGAAATACTCTGAAAAGTATAAGCATGCATATGGACTCAGTACTTTGTTTGGGCCCCTTTTGCAGGAATTACTGTCTCAATGAAGCGTGGCATGGAAGCTATCAGCCTGTGGCACTGCTGAGGTGTTATGGAAGACAAGGATGCTTCAATAGCAGCCTTCAGCTCTTCTGCATTGTTTGGTCTCATGTCTCTCATCTTTCTCTTGGCAATGCCCCATAGATTCTCTATGGGGTTCAGGTCAGGCGAGTTTGCTGGCCAATCAAGCACAGTAATCCCACGATCATTGAACCAGGCTTTGGTGCTTTTGGCAGTGTGGGCAGTGCTGGAAAATGAAGTCAGCATCCTCATAAAGCTCGTCTGCGGAAGGAAGCATGAAGTGCTCCAAAATTTCCTGGTAGACGGCTGCGTTGACCCTGGACTTAATGAAGCAAAGTGGACCAACACCCCAAATCCCCAAATCTACACAGACTGTGGAAACTTCACACTGGACTTCAAGCATCTTGCAGTGTGTGCCTCTCCATTCTTCCTCCAGACTCTGGGTCCATGGTTTCCGAATGAGATGCAAAAGTTGCTCTCATCAGAAAAGAGGACTTTGGACCACTGAGCAACAGACCAGGTCTGTTTTTCTTTAGCCCAGGTAAGATGCTTTTGACGTTGTTTGTTGTTCATAAGCGGCTAGACGAGAGGAATACGACATCTGAAGCCCATGTCCAGGATCCGTCTGTGTGTGGTGGCTCTTGATGCACTGACTCCAGCCTCAGTCCACTCCTTGTGAAAGTCCCCAACACTTTTGAATGGCTTTTTCCTGATAATCCTCTCCAGGTTGCGGTCATCCATGCTGCTTGTGCACCTTTTTCTTCCACACTTTTCCCTTCCACATAACTTTCTATTAAAGGGACACTATAGTCACCTGAACAACTTTAGCCTAATGAAGCAGTTTTGGTGTATAGAACATGCCCCTGCAGCCTCACTGCTCAATCCTCTGCCATTTAGGAGTTAAATCCTTTGTTTATGAACCCTAGTCACACCTCCCTGCATGTGACTTGCACAGCCTTCCATAAACACTTCCTGTAAAGAGAGCCCTATTTAGGCTTTCTTTATTGCAAGTTCTATTTAATTAAGATTTTCTTATCCCCTGCT